CGGGGAACAGCTGTGCCTCCACGGAGGCACTGGTTTTGCCAGCACCCCCAAAGTCCCTGCTGGTTTTGTTCCCTGTAGCCACCATCCAGGGCTCCTCCCAGCTCCTGCCTTTGCCAGCTGCTTCCCTGCACAAATCTCCGTAGGTGAACACTTTCAAAATGCAACACTTGAGAAAAAAAACGACCAACCAGTTTCCAGTGGTTGGCTGCACCAGCAGCATTGCAGCAACCGCGGCTCAGAGCCCCCAAAAACGTCCACCACCTCAAAAATGCTCGGGGTGACTCAGGGCTGGTGCCTCATCCCACCCCATCACTGCCAGCCCCAGCAAGGAACAGCCACGTTTCTTGAGTCCGTTTCTGCTAATTCACATCACACCATTCCTCTTCTGATGGAGAGCAGAGGTTCAAGCAGTAAAACAGACATCCCTCCCTGCCGGCCCCCCGTGTTTGGTTGACAGCTCAGTTGTTTTCTGTCACCGAGGATGCAATTTATTTTTTAATAGCGTGTCTAATAAGCAATGCCCATTTGACTGACACCCTGGTATTTATACATGCAGCTCCAGAACATGTGCTGTGTTTTATAAATAGGCACTGAATCATTTCTGAAATGTTCAACAAAATCTATTCTTTTCCGAACTGAGGCACCAAACAAAAATATCTTAATGGATCCATAATTAATTACGTGCAGAGAGATTTTCCTGAGAGCACAGAGAAGGTTGCCATATAAATCTTAAATGGTATTATATAATTACTCTTGTAAACATCGGGGGAATCTTGCTCTCTGGATTTAGCATCTCTCAAGCAGTAATTTGTGCACCGTAACACAAGCTTTGGGGGGGTGCACAGCTGGGCTGCCAAACTCCTGCCTGTCTGCTGCTGTTGAGGCAAATCCCTGCCTTGGGGGGGCCAAAAATATCTGGCAATTTGCAGGCAGCTGGGGTTTGCCAGTGTCTTAAAAAACAAACTGCAGAGCTGATTTTGGCTGCCGATACCCAAAGCCAAGGGTTCACAAGTTGGGTCTTGAGCACGTGAAAAGTGAAGAAGTGAAAAGGCTTTTTTTTTTTGCTATTTATTCCCATTTCTTTGGCTTTGCTTGTGCAGGAGCTGCTGCAGCAGGGCTGCATTTTCCAGGAGCGGCACGGCTGGGAGAGGCCCGGCTGGTTCAGCCCCAGGGGAGCAGCCCCGGTAAGCACGGTGTGCGTTTTGGGGGGCGTTCAGCTGGAGGGTACCAGCTGTGCCTGGTGCATGCAGGATGTGTCCTGAGTCTGCAGGGTGTGCAGTATGCAGCAGGCAGGTGCATGTCCCCAAAATGGGTCCATAAAAACTGTTGGGCTTTTA